TAATACATGGACAATCTTTTAAATATGTATTAACATGTATAGGTTATTACATGGTAAGCTATAAAGACAATTTCAGTGTTGGATAATGTAGTGGGCTACTGGGCTTATGTCTGGGGGCTTAATATATTCAGTGGGCTTGTATTCAGTGGGCTTATATTCAGGAATGAGGTGAGCATTAGTATATGTGGTGGGCTTATATTTGGAAGGGCTTATATTAAATAGCATAGTGGGCTACGGGGCTTATATTTCCGGGGGCTTATATTTGGGGGACGGCTTATTTGGGGGACAGCTTAGATTTGCGGGGCTTATATTTGGAATGAGGTGAGTGTTATATTTAATTAGTACATGGGCTTACAGGCCATCCTCGGAAAGGCGTGCGATTGCACACACACGCCTTGGCACACGCCCCAGCTCATTGAGGCGTGCGATAAAACGCACGCCTCAATCAAGGAGCGGTGCAATGTATTTTTCTTAATATTACAATTGTACATTTCATCATATGAACAGTATAACAACACAAAGTATATAAAAAATTATATTACCATGGTGCTTTCATTGCCCATACTCCAATTTTCGAAATTCCAGCAGTTATTCTCATAATATGTTACATTCTGGTGCAAAGTTAGTTTAAGGCGTTGAAATACATAACCCAACTTAGGTTATGTAACAATTTTAATTCCCTAAACCAAAGAATGTCAAGTTAATTGTGGATAAAAATACGATTGCACGCCACTGCACGCCTAGCAAGCCCGAGGAGTGCGATTCACTGCACGCCCGCCTTCTCTAATTTCCTGGGATGGCCTGGGCTTATATTCGAGAGGGCTTACATTAAATAACATTGTGGGCTACTGGGCTTATATTTCAGGGGGCTTATACAGTATTCGGGGCTTATATTTGGGGGGAGGGTTATATTCAGGGGGCTTATATTTGGAATGAAGCTTGCCATGTTAGTATTATGTAGTGGGCTTGTATTTGGGAGGGCTTATATTAAATACCATAAACCTCCTGGGCCTGGGTCTTTAGTTGAGTTGCATTGCGCCCTGATGCGCCCTACTTTATTATTTTACTCTGTCTAACGCCAGAGGATTTTACTCGTCAAGGGGAGGGCGCTGGCGCTTTATGGGTTAATTAACTGGCCTATCTGCCCATATCTCTAGTTAACCCAATCGTGGAGTTGCATTGCGCCCTGATTGCGCCCTACTTTATTATTTTACTCTGTCTAACGCCAGATTATTTTACTCTGTCTAACGCCAGACGATTTTACTCGTCAAGGGGAGGGCGCTGGCGCTTAATGGGTTAACACTTGCCTGCTTGCCTGGGGTAAGTGAATACATATCATGACGGGCAAGTAAATGTTTTATCTTGCTTGCCCAATTGGGCAAGTTGCCTTGGCAGAAAAACTGGGCATCTTTAAGTTTATGCTTTCATTGTCAAAATTGTTACCAGAGAAGTACCAGGCGGGAAACAAATTCTGATAATAAATATTAATGCCCAGCAAAGTGCTTTTAAAAGAGCCATAAAACCATTAAATTTAAAAATTTTATTAAAGATTTAGTAACGTTTCGTCTTAACTCAAGACATCTTCAGACTATATTAAATTACAAGCTGTAAGAGTAATTAAGCATAAAGTAAAGCTATCATAGCAATATTAAATTACAAGCGAATACGAGGTACACAAAACGTAAGGATAAGAATGGATAATGAAGGGAAGTGACGGACAAAAATGAGAACATACAAATTAGACGACAACACAAACAGACAAAACATAAAAAAGAGATCAGAATACGTGAAGAGGAATTGAACTGCCTTGAACGTTGAGAGAGGGTTTCATTTTAGAGATAAAAAAAGCTTTCATGAATAAGGAGTTCTTGTTCATCTGAACAAGAGGAGAGGATTTTGAAGTTGTCAATAGAAGCAGCGTGGCCTGTGGATGTGAGATGCGAGAAAATGCTGGACTGGGGAGGATTTTTACATTGTTTGCCAGTGATAGGAGTGATACCCAGATGTTCCGAAACTCGGGTGTGTAGGTGTACTATTATAAGTTATCTGAATAAAATTTAATAAAAAGAAAATCCTTGCATAATATTTAACAGGTTCACAACAGCACAAAAATCAATCTCGTGTTCCCAGAGCCAAAATGTGGTCGGTCACTATCACCAGCATCATACAAATCTGCCTGGTCATATTAAAAAATTGGCCGGTCATTGACCAGTGATCAGCCGTTATTTTAGTTGAGCCCTGAATTTATATGCAAAACAAATAACATGATTCGACTGGTTTACATTTTATTCAGGATCAGTAACTTTCAATGGTGGCATGACTAGCCAATCACTACATTCATTAAACATTATGAATATTAAGGTCTATATTTTACCACAGTGGAAAAGATCCATCCTTATTTCTCAGCAGAACTTTCTCACGAATTACTTCATAAGCTCCCATCCGAGAACCAGAATACACTAAACAATGTACAATATGCCACCAAATTCATACAAAGCCATATAATCTTCTGCAGAAAAGCCTCCCCAGGGACGGCGGTAGCCCTATTTTAATGGGGGAGGGTGTTAACCGAAAATTTTCACTTTTCAAAAGTTTTACTCAAATATTTTGTTTTCATTTCTTCATATCTAATTCATGTTTTGCCAACTGGAAGAGATTCCAATTTGCTTAGCACTGCAGCTGAGCCTCCCTTCTCCATAACCCACCTAAATGTCGAAGAACAGCTGGTGTTATTCCTCGCCATAACGACAAAAATCCTTCTTCCTTTGCTGAAAGAGAATTATGTTAGCACTAAAATAAAATAAATAGTAACCGAGTATAGTCATTTAAAACCTATTCACACATATCGGAATTTAAATCAATCATACCAATGCCATAGGCAGTCTTTACCATTCCTCTGTAAGGCTGAACTTTTGCTCCTGAAACTAACGAAGCCTTTTCGCCTTGTATTTGAAGACGAGTTTTGGTAATGTCCAATGGAAATGTCACTAAAAATAGAAAACCAAATTAAGTATTTAGTATGCCTTGAAATCCCAGTTTGCAGAACGTGGCACATTTCGACGAGATCTCGGGTGCAATATACCAAGAATTTCAAGTGCAGGTGCGCTTCAAACTGTCAGGTGCGCACCTGAAAAATTGTAAAAAATGCTGTAGGTGCGAATTTTTTGTGACAAG